AGGAAAACAGACACGTGCCATCACACTTGGCTAATTTTTAATTTTTTTCTAAAGATGGGGTCCCACTTTGTTACCCAGACTGATCTCAAACTCCTGAGCTCAAGCAGTCCTCCTGCCTTGACCTTCCAAAGAGGTGCAATTACAGGTATGAAACGCCTCACCTGGCCCCATACATTTTTTTTTTTTTTTTGAAACAGAATCTCTCTATGTCATCCAGACAAAATGCAGTGATGTTATTTTGGCTCACTACAGGCTTGACCTCCTGACCTCAAGGAATCCTCCTGCCTCAGTCCCGCAGATAGCTGGAACTAAACGTGTGTACCACCACAGCAGGCTATTTTTTAATTATTTTTTATTTATTTATTTATTTTTTCTTTTAGTAGAGATGGGAGTTTCACCATGTTGGCCAGGATGGTCTCTATCTCTTGACCTGTGATCCACCTGCCTCGGCCTCCCAAAGTGCTGAGATTACAGGCATGAGCCACCGCGCCCGGCCTTTTTAAAATTTTATTTTAAGAAATGGGGTTGGCCAGGCGGGGTGGCTCACCCCTGTAATTCAACACGGTGAAACCCCGTCTCTACTAAAAATACAAAAAAATCAGCTGGGCATGGTGGCACGTGCCTGTAATCCCAGCTTCTTGGGAGGCTGAGGCAGGAGAATGGCCCGAACCCAGAAGGCGGAAGTTGCGGTGAGCCCATCACACCATTGCACTCCAGCCTGGGTAACAAGAGCGAAACTCTGTCTCAAAAAAAAAAAAATGGTTAAGTGGCTGGGCACGGTGGCTCATACCTGTAATCCCAACACTTTGGGAGGCCGGAGCGGGTGGATCACAAGGTCAGAAGTTGGAGACCAGCCTGGCCAGTATGACAAAACCCCATCTCTACTAAAAATACAAAAAAAATTAGCTGGGCATGGTGGTGTGTGCCTGTAATCCCAGCTACTCCGGAGGCTGAGGCAGGAGAATTGCTTGAACCCAGGAAGCAGAGGTTGCAGTGAGCCGAGATCGCGCCACTGCACTCCAACCCATTGACAGAGTGAGACTCCGTCTCAAAAAAAAAAAAAAAAAAAGTTACGTCAGGTGCAGTAATTCATGCCTGTAGTCCCAGCTACTTGGGAGGCTGAGGTGGGAGGATGACTTGAGCCTGGGAGTTCCAGGCTGCAGTGACCCGTGATTGTGCCTGTGAATGGCCACTGCAGTTGTGCTCCATCGTGGGCAACAGAGGAATACTGCATCTTTTCTTCCCCCTTTTTCTTTCTTTCTAAAGTTGGAGTTTCTCCATGTTGGCCAGGCTGGTCTTGAACTCCTGACCTCAGGTGATCCACCCACCTTGGCCTCCCAAAGTGCTAGGATTACAGGCATGAGCCACCGCACCCGGCCAAGACTGCATCTTTATAAAAATTTTTTTGGCTGGGCACAGTGGCCCACGCCTGTAATCCCAGGACTTTGGGAGGCTGAGGCGGCAGATCAGGGTGTCAGGAGTTTGAGACCAGCCTGGCCAACATGGAGAAACCTCATCTTTAGAAAGAAAGAAAAAGGGGGAAGAAAAGATGCAGTCTTCCTCTGTTGCCCAAGATGGAGCACAACTGCAGTGGCCATTCACAGGCACAATCACGGGTCACTGCAGCCTGGAACTCCCAGGCTCAAGTCGTCCTCCCACCTCAGCCTCCCAAGTAGCTGGGACTACAGGCATGAATTACTGCACCTGATGAATTACTGCAAAACCCCACGCTTACTAAAAATGCAAAAATTCACTGGGCATGGTGGTGCGTGCCTGTAATTCCAGCTACTTAGGAGGCCGAGATAGGACAATCTATTGAACCCGAGAGGCAGAGGTTACAGTGAGCTGAGATCACGCCACTGTACTACAGCCTGGGCAACAGAGTGAGACTCCATCTCAAAAGAAAGCAAAATTTCTTTTGGCCAAGCTCCGTGGCTCATGCCTGTAATCCCAGCATTTTGAGAGGTTGAGGTGGGCAGATCACTGAGGTTAAGAGTTCAAGACCAGCCTGGCCAACATGGTGAAACCTTGTCTCTAATAAAAATACAAAAAAAGCCGGGTGCGGTGGCTCAAGCCTGTAATCCCAGCACTTTGGGAGGCCGAGGCGGGTGGATCACGAGGTCAAGAGATCGAGACCATCCTGGTCAACATGGTGAAACCCCGTCTCTACTAAAAATACAAAAAATTAGCTGGGCATGGTGGCGTGTGCCTATAATCCCAGCTACTCAGGAGGCTGAGGCAGGAGAATTGCCTGAACCCAGGAGGCGGAGGTTGCGGTGAGCTGAGATCGCGCCATTGCACTCCAGCCTGGGTAACAAGAGCAAAAACTCCGTCTCAAAAAAACAAACAAACAAACAAACAAAAAATAGCTGGGCATGGTAGCACATGCCTGTAATCCCAGCTACTCAGGGAGGCTGAGGCAGGAGAATCTCTTGAACCCAAGAGGCAGAGGTTGCAGTGAGCCAAGATCACACCACCACACTCCAGCCTGGGAAACAGAGGAAGACTACATCTTTAAAAAATATATATATATACACAATATAATTATTATTATTATTTTTTTTGCCAGAGCACAGTGGCTCACGCCTGTCATTCCAGCACTTTGGAAGGCCAAGGGAGGCAGATTACGTGAGGTTAGGAGTTCATGACTAGCCTGTTGCAACATGATGAGACCTCCCATCTCTACTAAAAATACAAAAAATTGCCGGGCGCGGTGGCTCAAGCCTGTAATCCCAGCACTTTGGGAGGCCGAGGCGGGTGGATCACGAGGTCGAGAGATCGAGACCATCCTGGTCAACATGGTGAAACCCTGTCTCTACTAAAAGTGCAAAAAATTAGCTGGGCATGGTGGCACGTGCCTGTAATCCCAGCTACTCAGGAGGCTGAGGCAGGAGAATTGCCTGAACCCAGGAGGCGGAGGTTGCGGTGAGCCGAGATCGCGCCACTGCACTCCAGCCTGGGTAACAAGGGCGAAACTCCGTCTCAAAAAAAAAAAAAAAAAAAAAAAAAATACAAAAAATTAGCCGGGCACAGTGAAGCAGGCCTGCAATCCCAGCTATTCAAGAGGCTGAGGCAGGAGAATTGCTTGAACCCAGGAAGCAGAGGTTGCAGTGAGCTGAGACAGCACCATTACACTCCAGCCTGGGTGAGAGGAGCAAAAATTCCATATGAAAAAGAGAATAATTTACAGTTCCAACACCTTTACACTGGCTGGGTGAGGTGGTTCATGCCTGTCATCCTGGGTTTCACCATATTGGCTTTGGGAGGCTGAGGTGGGAAGATAACTTGAGATCTGCACCAGCCTGGGTAACCTGGTGAGACCCCATCACTACAATTTTTTTTTTTTTTTTTTTTGCTCTGCTGCCAGGCTGGAGTACAGTGGCAGGATCTTGGCTCACTGCAACCTTCCACTCCCCGTTTCAAGCAATTCTCCTGCCTCAGCCTTCTGAGTAGCTGGGATTACAGGCGTCCGCCACCACACCCCAGTAAGTTTTGTATTTTTAGTAGAGATCATGTTGGCCAAATTGATCTTGAACTCCTGACGTCAGGTGATCCACCTACTTTAGTATCCCGAAGTGCTGCGATTACAGGCATGAGCCACCACACCCAGCCCTTTTTTCTTCTTTTTTTTTTTTTTAGAGATGGCAGTCTCACTATGGTGTCAGGGCTGGTCCTGAAGTCCTGGACTCAAACAATCCTCTCGCATCAGCCTCCCAAAGAGCTGGGATTACAGTGTGAGCCACCACAGCCTGCCAAAAAAAAAATATCTATATCATTATTTTTTGAGACAGAATTTTGCTCTGTCACAAGGCTGGAGTGCAGTGGCTTGATCTCTGCTCACTGCAACCTCTGCCTTCTGGGCTCAAGCAATTCTCCTGCCTCAGCCTCCCGAGTAGCTGGGATTACCAATGTATGCCACCACACCCAGTTAATTTTGTAATTTTAGTAGAGACGGGGTTTCACCATCTTGGGCAGGATGGTCTCGATCTCTTGACCTCGTGATCCACCCGCCTTGGCCTCCCAAAGTGCTGGGATTACGGGCATGAGCCAACGCACCAGGCCAAAAAGTGTATTTTTAAACATAACTACCTGCCAGGCACGGTGGCTCACATCTGTAATCCCAGCACTTTGAGAGGCCAAGGCGGGCGGATCATGAGGTCAGGAGATTGAGACCATCCTGGCTAACACAGTGAAACTCCATCACTAATAAAAATGCAAAAATTTAACTGGGCGTCATGGCATGGTGTCTGTAGTCCCAGCTACTCAGATGCCTGAGACAGGAGACTTGCTTGAACCCGGGAGGCAGAGGTTGCAGTGAGCCAAGATTGTCCCACCCCGCTCCAGCTTCGGTGACAGAGTGAGACACTATCTCAAAAAAAAAAAAAAAAGCAACTACCACTAACACCGCTAACAAAATTGAGTCGGGCGTGGGCCCTACTAATTTTATATTTTTGGTAGAGACGGGGCTTCTCCGTGTTGGTCAGGCTGGTCTCGAGCTCCCGACCTCAGGTGATCCGCCCGCCTCGGCCTCCCAAAATGCTGGAATTACAGGCGTGAGCCATCGCTCCCGGCAACAATTTTTATTTTTATTTTTTTAATAGAAAACATAGTTTTGCCATGTTGCCCAGGGTGGTCTCAACTTCAGTCAAGCAAACCTCCCACCTGATTCTCCGAAAGTGCTGGGATTGCAGGCGTGAGCCACCGCGCCCAGCTTAGGTTGAGCAGCGAACAGGACAGGGCCCAGTATTTTCTCTGCGAGGTTCAGTCGGCCTGTCCCTCTCCCATCAACGTTTGTCACCATTTGGGGAGCGCCACGGAAGGCGCCAGGCAAGGCTCTGTCGCCAATCTAGAAGCGCGCTCGTGGCCCTGGCAACGGACTCCGGAAGAACCACAGAGACGCGGCTCCAGCGGACAGAGTGGCCGCCCCAGGCCCGCGACGCACCGAGCGGCACTCCGGCCTGATTGTCACGTGGCCGGTGTCGGAAAGGCGAAAGGCGGGACTTCCGGCGGGCCGGTATTTTTTTTCCGGTGGTTGGTCCTGGGCGGCCCCTCCCCGACTGGGCCCCGTGCCCCCCGCCCATGCGGCCCCCCGCCGCCGGGCCAGCCGCCACCATGAAGAAATTCTTTCAGGAGTTCAAGGCCGACATCAAGTTCAAGAGCGCAGGACCCGGTCAGAAGCTCACGGACTCCGTGGGGTGCGTGAGGATCGTATGGGCCTGAGGCCCTGAGGGGCGGGGACGGCCGGGGAGAGAGGTCTGGGGCCTCGAAGTGCGCGGGAGGTCGGAGGGCGGAGGGCGAGGGGCTGGGAGCGGCGGCGGCGAATGAGGGAAAGGGGAGAGGTGCCGGGGGCGGGGCAAGTGGGGCCTAGGGTGGGCGTCAGGGGGAGGGGAGAGCGATCTGGGGGCGGGGCAGGAGGGCGTGTGGGAGGGACCCGGGGGCGGGGCGGGGAGAGGCAGGGGGCGGGGCAAGGGGCCGGGAGGGTAGGTCTCGGTGGCCGGGCCTCGTAGGCTATGGTGGGGGTCTAGGGCGACGGGGCTGCAGCAAGTTGGGAGTCAGTGGAACGACCCTGGGGGAAAAAAGGGATGATGAGTCCGGAGGCGGGTGGTGAGGAGAGGTCTGGGGACACGGCGGGTTCTGAAGCGGCCCGGATGATTTGGGGGAATCTGGGTGACCAGGGATGGGAGCTGAGCTTGGAGGAGGACACACAATTGTGGGATGGGGTGGTGGAGAGTAATTGTGAGGCATCCATGGGAAAAGGGGATGTGCGCTTGGGATCTGGAGCACGTGGGAGGTTGAGGAGAGACTAGGAGGTCTGGAAGGCCAGGGAAGTGGTGGTGGGCAGAGTCGTCAGTGACCTGAGAGGTCCCTGCGAATTGGGAGGGAAGGGCTCAGGAGGGTGTGCGAGGAGAGTGGAGGTGAGGGACTCCGACAGATGGTGGTGGGAGGGGAGGGAAAGGAGGTAGCTGCCAGGCCTACTTCTGGATTGTCTAGGGAAGACTTCGAGAGAAGGGCATGGGCAGGGCTAAGCCAGCTGGGAGGGGGCATGGGAGGTCGGGGAAGAGCTGGAACCGGAGACGGTGTGAGGCTGAGGGCTGCTGGGTTGAGAATAGGGAACCTGGAGAGCTGGGGCCGCTGCAGGGAGCTGGCTGACCAGGGAGTGGTGGGGACCCATGGAGAGTGAATGGGAAGGTCAGCCAGGCTGCCAGGGCAGGGGTCTATAAGCAATAATGGAAGGGATTGTGAAGAGGTGGGGGCTGGGAAGGGGTAGGAGGAGATGCAGGGAGGTGGCAGGAAGTGCGGGTCAGGGAATCACGGGCAATGGGGCAGTGATGGAGGGAGGGCCATAGTGAGGATGCCAGGATTCCTGGGGGAGAGGCTGAGCAGGAAAGCAAAGTAGGGAGAGGGCTCAGGGACAGAGGGGTCAGGGAGAGAGGTGGGCAAAAGCGGGGAGCCCTTCACTGATTCAACCAATAGTGGGTGAACAGCGTACTGGAGCCACTGGGGCTGGACTTGATAGGAAGGATCCAGGGTATGGGGGCGATGGCTGGATTGGCCCAGAGCCCAGGCATAGAGGGGACGATTGGAGGGGAGGGGTGGGAAGGGAAGGGAAGGGAAGGTGTGCAGAAGTCCCTTTTGGAGTGATACTGGATATCCAGGGTGTGTGGGCATGAAGTCCTGTTTTGGGCTGCAGTGGCAGACAGGACAAGACCGCTGCTTTCCCAGGGCTCACCACCTAGTGGGAGCTGTTGGACGAATAAACCAATGTGCCTGGGATGAGAGCTCAGGCAATGCCCAGGGCCTCAAAATAGGGTGAGCAGGGACTGCCAGGTGGTCTGGGAAGGCCTCTGCCAGGACAGCGAGACTTCAGCCATAAGGAAATCAGCCCCCTTCTTCTCTCCCTGCGGTAGCCCTAGCCCTTTCCAGACCCCCTGTCCTCCTCCCACCCCTCAAGAGAACATTCTGAGCAGAAGGCGCAGACAGTGCAGGGCCGCACAACGGGGAAGAACGGCAGGGAGCCCAGGGGAGATGGGGCCAGGCCGGGAAGGGCTCTCTGGGCCAAGGGAGGCTTTAGGATTTTGCAGTGGGAGGACATCGTGCAGTGGAGTAGCACTAACACTCCCTGAACGAGGTTCCAGAAGGGTCCCTGTGACTGCCCAGGGGAGCAGGGCTCACGGCTGGTTAGGGTGAGGTACCCCAGGAAATGCTGTTTTGTTGGAAAGACCTAGATATGGGATGGGGCCAGGGTGGGTCCTCATGAGTCCTCTCCTCTTCCACCCAATATGCTCAGCTGTGGGAGGACTGGATAGGCAGGGGTGGGCACGAAGCAGGTTCCAGAAGCCTCCAGACAAGGAGGAAGGGCTTCCCGGGCATCTGAGCAGAGCCAGAGGAGTATAGGGCTTGAACTGAGAGCCTGGTCTCCCAGAAGTTTTTGTAGATCTATAGCATGGAAAGTGACAGTTCCTGAATTCACGGGAGGGGCCTGAGAGGAGAAGGGTGAGAGACACATCTGAGCAGATTGGGAGAAAGGGCTGCTCTGCCAGGTCACTGTGCTAAGTGGATTATGGAATCCTCTTTGGCGTAGGGCTCCACAGGGCAGGGCCGTGATTACTTGAGCTCTTTGTACTTGCACAGCCCTGAGCCTGGCGTGGAGTCACGTGGCCAGGGCGAGGCTGGTTGTTGTCAGCTGACCCCAGGGTCTTGCCACAAGGGTGGCGTGGCATGGGGTACATCACCTGGACTTCTCAACCCTCTTGGGTTTGGAAACGGGATGGTGAGACCTCCCTGACAGCTTGTTAGGAGGAGGAGCCAACCAACCCAGCTGACCAGCTCACAGCAGGGGCACGGCACACAGTAGGTGCTCAGCGAACAAAGCTGTGACCTGAGGGTGGAGACTCTTATGGCAGGGAGAGAGGGAGGACGTGATAGCTCTTGAGTCTCCTCAACTCCTGAGGATGTGGGCTGCATGCAGTGGCTTATGCCTGTAATCCCAGCAGTTTGGGAGGCGACAGTGGGAGGATCATTTGAGACTAACAGTTCGAGACTAGCCTGAGCTACATAGTCTCAATAGATTAGCCAGGCTCATGCCTGTCATCCCAGCACACTGGAAGGCTGAGGCGGGTGGATCACTTGAGGTTGGGAGTTTGAAACCAGCCTGACCAACATGGAGAAACTCCATCTCTGTTAAAAATACAAAATTAGGCCGGGTACGGTGGCTCACGCCTGTAATCTCAGTACTTCGGGAAGCTGAGGTAGTAGATCACGAGGTCAGTAGTTCAAGACCAGGTTGGCCAATATGGCGAAATCCCGTCTTTACTAAAAATCCAAAAATTAACCAGGTGTGGTGGCGGGTGCCTGTAGTCCCAGCTACTCGGGAGGCTGAAGCAGAGAATTGCTTGAACCTGGGAGGCGTAGGTTGCAGTGAGCCGCGATCGCACCATTGCACTCCAGCCTGGGTGAGAGTGAGACTCAGTCTCAAAAAATAAAGAAAGAAAAATAAATACAAAATTAGCCAGGCATGGTGGTGCATACCTGTAATCCCAGCTACTCAGGAAGCTGAGGCAGGAGAATCACTTGAACCTGGGAGGCGGAGGTTGCAGTGAGCTGAGATCGTGCCATTGCACTCCAGCCTGGGCAACAGATCGAAACTCTGTCTCAAAAGAAGAAAAATTAGCCAGGATACAGATACTCCCTTGGTCTGTCTCCAGGGAAAAGGCCCTCAAAGAGAAACCCACCCAGCCAGCCCCAAGGCAGCCCCGCCAGGGACCCACCAATGAGGCACAGATGGCAGCCGCTGCCGCCTTGGCCCGGCTGGAGCAGAAGCAGTCCCGGCCCTGGGGCCCCACATCACAGGACACCATCCGAAACCAGGGTGAGCTGCGGCCCTCCTCAGGCCCAGGCAGACACTGTTTGTGGGTCCCAGCCCTGGTGCAGAAGTCACATGAGCCACTGTAGGGGTGTGAGGATCACCCTTGGGAGTGGCCCCCCGAGGGCAGGGGAAGGGTGGCTTCCGGGGTGGGGGGAGCAGAGACTTGCAGCAGAAATAAGGGCTGCCCAGGCAGTGGGGTGCTGGCTCAGGCCGAGGGGTGGGTGCAGACCAAGCCCTGCAGGGGCCCAGGACAGGCATGCTTGGCTCACAGGCCACCCAAGGAATCAGGGGGCTTGGGCCAGGGGAGAGAGGCCTGCACACCATCCCATCCCTGCCTCTCCCTTCTCGGCTGGCCTTCCAGTGAGAAAGGAACTTCAAGCCGAAGCCACCGTCAGCGGGAGCCCGGAGGCCCCAGGGACCAACATGGTAAGAACAGCCACTGGTGGCAGTGTCCCATGCCCAGGGGTGGGGACAGCTTGACTCTGTCACACGGGAGATGTGGCCTCTGCCCTTGGGGCTCTGGGACAGTTGGGAAACCTCGCCTTGACAGGTGGAGGCGGGTTGTGGTGGAACACGGTACTATGCGGGACCTTCAGGGCTCAGCCGCCGGCTGCCAAGGCTTCCTAGCTCAGGCCTGGAGAAGTGGACCTTGTGCGCAGTAGCCCAGAGGTCCCTCCCGTTAACCCTTTAAGGGCGCATCCAGTTAAGAGTTCCTACTTTTCAGAAAGAGAATGGGGGTTGACAGAGGTGAAAGCAGCTGTCCTCTCCTACACCTCAGAACCAGCAAAGGCAGGACCAGGACCAGAACCAGTCTGTGACTTCAGAGGCCGTAGCCTAGTGTTGCCCTCTCCTGCCTGCCTTGGAGGTCAAGGGACTCTGTGGAGATGGGTGTCATCAGGAAGGCCTGCCTGTAGGAATTGGGCCTCGAGAGCTCCACTGAAAGGAGTTCTAAGCAGCTTGACCTTCAAGGATTCAGTGAATTTTAGCCCGGCAAGGACATTAAAGATGGCCTAGAAATGGAGGCTCAGAAGCCAGGCCTTGTCCAGGGTGCTGTGCCCATGGGCTCCCACACAGAGTCCCTTCCTCACCAGCTTGGGGACAGGACCAGCAGGAGCCCAGCTGCCATCTGTTAAGTGCTTCTATGTCTCAGAAGCTGCTCTGTGCTGTCTGTTCTTTACTTTGTTTAGTTCTGAGCAGACCCCACAGGGACATTTGACCTACCAGGGGACAGACTTCGGGATTCAGTCACTTGGCTAGGTTGTCTCCCATGGCCTCCAAGGGGAAGGGACAGCGTGGGGGCTAGAGATGTATGGCTCTATGGCCCACACTCAGGACTGTGGCGCTCGGTGGGGGTCGGGGTGGCCTCTGTCCACAGTCCAGACACGGTCACTTTCACCGCCCCAGGTATCTCAGGCCAGAGAGGAAGGCTCTGCCCACCTGGCCGTGCCTGGCATCTACTTCACCTGTCCGCTCACCGGGGCCACCCTGAGGAAGGACCAGCGGGACGCCTGCATCAAGGAGGCCATTCTCTCAGTGAGTGGTGTGCGCTCCTGTAGTCCCAGCTACTCGAGAGGCTGAGGCAGGAGAATCACTTGAACCCATGAGGTGGAGGTTGCAGTGAGCCGAGATCACGTCACTGCACTCCAGCCTGGCGACAGTGAGACTCCATCTCAAAAAAAAGCAAGCCAGAATGTGAGGCACAGTTCTGGGAGGTCCCACTGGCCGCCAAGGCCCCTGGATCTAGCCTGGGGAAGGCGGAAGGGCAGCCTTGAGTTCTGCTCCATCCTGCCTGTGTTGCCTCTGCCCTGGGGTTCGGGCAGGACCGCGGTCTTCAAGGGTCTCTTTCTTTCTGTGATGAGCGCACAGCTGGGGCTGCTGCACGCCACTGCTCTGCCTTCCTTAAACACCGTCACCCGCGCTGCCGAGGGCCGTGTGGTCCAGGCTCTCGAGCTGCTTTCCCTGCTTCCCTCCTCCCAGCGCTTCTCCACCGACCCAGTGGCCGCCTCCATCATGAAGATCCACACGTTCAACAAAGACCGGGACCGGGTGAAGCTGGGCGTGGACACCATCGCCAAGTGAGCACACGGGCCCTTTGCCCTGCCTGGCCCTCCAGCTCACCGCAGCCCCCCTCCCACTGGGGCTGTCACCCACTCTGGCCCCCTTGTGACCTGCTGAGGTGGGCTGGGAAGGAACACAGGCTGAGTGAGGCAGCTGTACCCAGAGCCTTTGGGGAAAGGGCTAGGCTTCTTTGGGCCTCAGTTTACCCATGTGCAAAATGAAGGTGTTTTTAAGGAATCAGGGGTTCCCCACACTGGCTTCCGCGGATCACATGGGGAGCGTATAGAGGATACAGGGTCACACTGCTCTCAGCATCCAGGCAGGCCTGCAGGTCCACACTGCCCGCTGGCTCCGAGGGAACAACCCACAGGAGCCCACGGCTGATGCTGTGGCTTCCCAGCTCTGGCTCTCCGCTCTGACAGCTCTGTGGCTCCCCCACCACTGTGGTGAACTGGTGTCCTCCTGGGTTGGTGGGACAGTGAGGGCTTCCTTGGGGCTCTTGCTGGCACTAGGGGTGGCCTCCAAGGAGTGTCCAAGGTATGCCTCCCACCCTGGAGATGGCCTCCCTCTCTGGGGTAACTTGACCACTTCTTCCCTCTGACTAGAGGCCAGTGTGGTTGAGCTGCTGTTCCCTGCCTGGCAGGCAGGGCTGTGGCCCGCTAACCCGTCCACCTACCACAGGTACCTGGACAACATCCACCTGCACCCCGAGGAGGAGAAGTACCGGAAGATCAAGCTGCAGAACAAAGTGTTCCAGGTCGGTGTGCCTCCTGCTCGCCAGGCCCAGGCTGGGGGTGGGGGTGGCTGAGCAGTGGTCTCCCTGGAGGAGCCAGCAAGAGTCGAGCCACCAGTAGTGAAGGGTTTCGCCGGTAGAGGGTAGCAGGACAAGGCAGGAGGCGAGAGTTTGATGCACGAGTCACCCCAAATCAACAGATTCTGCCTCTGCTCGCCCGTGTCCTTTTCCTTGTCTTCAGTTGGGCTTATTTGGGAACACGGCGGCCCTGGGGAGGCTTTTCATGCAAATACAGATGTGTGGCTCTTCTGGGTAAGCGGCAGGGTCTGGCAGCTCTGGCCTGTGTTAGCCTCCCATCAGGCCCTCACAGTGCCAGGCTCCTCAGCCTCACTCTTCGTGCATGGTTGTGACTCTTCCCTCTGTGTGGAACTGATGGAAACTCCACAGCCTCCACCTTAGAAAAGCAGGTTTGCAGCAGCACTGAAACAGCCATCCAGGGTTCAGCAGGCGCCCCCAATAGCAAGAGCCGGGCCCCTGGATGGGGTGGGGAGTGGTCAGGCCATGGAGGAAGCCAGGGGACCCCAGTGACCCCCATCTCCACCCCTAGGAGCGCATTAACTGCCTGGAAGGGACCCACGAGTTTTTTGAGGCCATTGGGTTCCAGAAGGTGATGCTTCCCATCCCAGATCAGGGTAAGCAGACAGGGCCTGGCTGAGTGGGAATGGGGGTGAGGGGCGAGGGGCAGGAGGGCCCGTCTTGGGGTCTCCCTGCTGCACAGAGGACACCCATATCCTGCTACACCGTAGAGGACCCCGAGGAGTTCTATGTGCTCAGTGAGGCCACCCTGGCCCAGCCCCAGAGCCTGGAGAGGCACAAGGAGCAGCTGCTGGCCGCAGAGCCTGTGCGTGCCAAGCTGGACCGGCAGCGCCGGGTCTTCCAGCCCTCGCCCCTGGCCTCGCAGTTCGAATTGCCTGGGGACTTCTTCAACCTCACGGCTGAGGAGATTAAGCGGGAGCAGAGGCTCAGGTGGGCCTGGTGTCTGCTGGGTGGGGCAGGGTGGGGTGGGAGAACCCGGGCCAGCCAGCCTGACCTGGCCTGTATGTCCAGGTCTGATGCAGTGGAGCGGCTGAGCGTGCTGCGGACCAAGGCCATGCGGGAGAAGGAGGAGCAGCGGGGGCTGCGGAAGTACACCTACACGCTGCTGCGCGTGCGCCTCCCTGATGGCTGCCTCCTGCAGGGTGGGCACCGGCGATGCCCGGGGAGGGCGGCTCGGGTCGGCAGGGGTCCCTGGGCCTGACCCGCTCTCACTCGCCTGATCCCCAGGGACCTTCTACGCCCGGGAACGGCTGGAGGCAGTGTACGGGTTCGTCCGGGAGGCCCTGCAGCACGACTGGCTGCCTTTTGAGCTGCTGGCCTCGGGAGGGCAGAAGCTGTCAGAGGACGAGAACCCGGCCTTGAACGAGTGCGGGCTGGTGAGTGTCGGCCCGCAGGAGTGCTGCTGACCCCATGACCCTGCGGGTTCTCCTGGAACCAGCACAGACCCCAGGAGGGAGGCTCCTTGTTCTCAGAGCAGAGGACCTGGACAGGTCCCTGGGTTTGAATCTCAACTTCCCACTTATTGGCAGCATGGCCTTGAGTAAGTCCATAACTACTTCATGCCTCAGTTTTCCCACCTGTAAAATGGGAGCGGTGATGCATGTTAGCTGGTGCAGTAGGTTTAGGTTTAGGTCCTGGGAGTCCCCTGAGGGACAGAGGGCAAGAGGCCTGGGTGCGAGCCACAGCCTCCACTGGCTGAGGCGTCCCTGAGCCCAGGCTGCCCGCTGAGGTCCCTGCTGTGGGAAGGGCCAACTGTGCTTGGCTCTGTCCTTCCGCCATGCTGCCACACAGAGATAGTGATGGCCTGCCCCCACTGCAGGTGCCCTCTGCCCTCCTGACCTTCTCGTGGGACGTGGCCCTGCTGGAGGACATCAAGGCCGCCGGGGCTGAGCCGGACTCCATCCTGAAACCTGAGCTCCTGTCAGCTATCGAGCAGCTCTCGTGAAATAAAAGCAGGGTTGGCCTCAGCCCTGTGGGTCTGTCTCATGCTCTCCCTGTCCCTATCCCTACCGCCCCAGGGCCTCTAAGCCACCTCTGGAAAGACCTGCTTTTCCCCATGGGCAAGGGAAAGGTGTCGGCCGGCTGTAGAGCCATGCAACCGGGCCCTGTGGCAGAGCCCCCCAGCCCCCAAGGGAGAGGCCTCGGGACGCCACCAAATCGAAGTCCTCCCTAGCTGTGGTAACTGTCATGAAGCCCCTGGGCAGACAAACGGGCATCTCCCTGGACAGGAGAGCAGGCTCATGGCACAGGTCCTGTTCCTGTGTGCCATGGGTGGCAGCAGCTGCACCCGACGCTGGGGCTGGTCTGTGGATGTGGGTGACGACAGTAGAGGGGACACTGGCCTTCAAGCACGGACCTGCAGTTACTAAATTATGAACCCAAATAAACAGGGTGTTTGAATATGGTTTCCTGGTGCTCTGTTCAAACTGTGGGACACAGGCCAGGCTCAGCTGCTGCGGAGTGGACAACACGTGGGGGCTGGGTGTGGCTCCCTGCCAAGGCAGCACCAGGCAGAAACCTGCTCTCCAGCCAGTGCCTGGCCACAAGTGCCTGCTGAGCCTCCCCTGCCTGGGGTGGAAGTTCCATGGGTTAGCGGAGGCTGTGCTGTGCCCATAAAGGCCCAGTCCCTGTGGGCCTCCCCCAGCCTGGGAGGTGAGTGCTGTCACAGGCCTGGCTTCACTGTGGCTAGTGAGACAAAGTGTCCTGAAGACAGTCATCTATTCCTGGAATCTGTAGATGTGTGATGTCATTCGTGGGTATAATGAACGATCTTGAGCTGGGAGATAGTCCTGGGTGGTCCGGGGAACAGTGTCCCCACATGGTCCTCACGAGAGGTAGTGGAAGGGTGAGTCAGACAGAGAGTGAAAGAGGCTGCGCCGTGGCTGTGAAGGTGGAGGAAGGGCCCCCGAGCTAAGGGATGAGGTGCCTCTGGGCACTGGGAAAGCTTCCAGGAGGGCCTGGCCCCGCCCACAGCTTGATGTTAGCCTGGCGAGGCATGCATGCGTTCTGACCTCAGAGCTGTGAGATGGTGACAGGTGCTTTAAGCCACCAGGTTTGTGGTCCAGCAGCCCCAGGGGACACAGGGACTGCCCTGTGGTGTGGAAGGCATGCGTGCCCAGCTCCACTGCTGACTTGATGCAGGTCTGCACCAGGGGGAGGTGGCCAGGGCCTGTGCTCATACCCCTGCCCTTGCATTGGTCCCTTCCTCACCCCTAGCTGGCCTAGTGCTGTGGGTCCCCCCGAGGGTCCCCTGACAGGGCTCAGGTCTCCGGTCCTCTGACCGCTGTCAGCCAAGTGATGGAGAGACGCACAGCCTCAAGTCCCCAGTGTGACTGCAGTATTCCGCTCTCATAGCTTGAGGGGAGCCCCCAGCATGCCTTTCTGTCACAACTTGGGCCATCAGCAGCTGCTTGCTTTCCTGTCACCCTGACCTGTGGGCTGCCTGGGCAGGCATCTGATATCTTGTTTGCTGCCCTGGCCAAGGAACCGGCACCACCCCAGCTGGTGTAGGCACCCGGCTCATTGAGAACAGAGGCCGTCCCTCCAGTCCTGCATCCCCTGCTGGTCCCAGAATGCAACTCCGGGTTATCAGGAGCCCCTGTAAAGCTGGTCAAAGGCATGCACGGGGGGAGCCTCTGCTTCGTGCACAGCTGAACCCTGCTTCCCAGGAGGAAGTCTTGGCCTGGGCACCCCCTGCCATCCCTGACCAGGTGGACGGAGGTAGCCAACACCTTCCACACATGGGGTCCCCTTAACGGAAGCTTAGACTTAAGGCAGGGTGTGGCCGGGAGAAGCAGGGCTGGCGAGGGTGACCTTCCCTGTGGCTATGTGTGCTGAGCCGCTCAACACCACAGCAGCTGTCACCTCTCCTCCCTTGGGGACAGCGGGGATAAAGCCCACTCACCCACAAGCAGATAGGTCACCTCCTAGCTCCAGCACTCGCAAGACATGCACCTGACCTAGGGATGGGCTCTCACAAAGCCTCAGACTAGACGCCAAACTCCACTCCTGGCAGCTCTGGGTTGAGAAAGGTGACCTCGGCAGGTCACGAACACCCCCTCCTAACCCCCCAACCCAGGGCAGGAGGGACTGCCAGGCAGAAGCACGTGGGGAGAAGAAAACCACACCTTGAACTAGGTCAGCCTTGTACGAGGACTTAGCAACGAACAGATGGGACAGTGCTGTCACAGGGCACAAGGCTGCCCCCGGACACGAGGCACCACACGGGGCCGGGCCATGGGCAAGGCACACCCTCAGAGAAACACGACGTTCTCAGGAAAGACAAGACAGCGGCTAAGGGCTAGAGAATAAGTTTATACACTGCCTCGTTAGGTCCAGGTGCACATGGCCAGGCGGGTGATCCTGGCACTTCAATTCATTTACAAGCATTGGATTCCACGCCTGCTCCCACGCCCGCAGGCTTCCCCGATAGGCCAGCAATCTCAATAATGCTTTATTAAAGGGCAGATTCATATGTAGCTCTTGGGGGAATTTTTACAAATGTCAAAGGAACTAATCCAGCATCCTATATAGAACTCTGCACACCTTGGGAAGGTCCGTGAAGCAGGACAAAGTGCTCTTTACACAGGAATCGAGTCGGTTCAAGTATCTGCTCCGGGGGGAGGACGTCCTAAGCGTTCTACATACGTCACCACAGCTCTCAAGAGGCACCCAGTGGGCTTGAGGGCACGGCGGCCTTGCCAGCGTCCACCCCCAAAGCACCCCCAGCTCCAGAAGCGGCGCCACACGGGGTCTGGACCTCTGCAGGGTGAGAGAGGCAGTGTCTTGAGCTGGCTGTGCCCACTGGGCTCCCTGGGGGAAGACCCCACCCTGTTGCCTCCTGGGGCCTTCGACAGCCCAGGGGGTGGGACCCTCCACCCACAGACGGAGGCTGGGGTACTGTGCCCCCTTGTAGAGGTGATCATCCACCCTCAGGCTAACCCTGTTCCCTGCCACCCCAGCACACTCCTTCGACTCAGCCTGCCGCAGGGCTTCTGTACTTCTTTAGGGAGCATTCCAGAAAACTACTTGGCCCTCTCTCCCGCCTCAGTGTAGCCTTCTCTGACCCCATCTAACATCACAACCACCTGAGACTTCCAGCACAGGCCCTCTCAGCTCTGCGGCCAACATCCCCTCCCTGTTGAGGCTCACCTCCTGTGCCCACCTCACCAGTGCATTCTGCTGTCTAGAGCCCTTCTCACCCGCAGCATCTGGGACATCCATGATCATACAGTCGCCCTCCTCCTCTTCCTCCTCCTCTGTGTCTGCCTGGAAGCCGTCCATGTCCTCAGCACCAACCTGGACAGGCAGGGCGAGTAGCTGTCAGCACTGCAGGTGGCAGTCACACTGGTGCTGGGGGGCCTCTGGGAGTGTGACCCCTCCCTCCCACCCCCAACACAGCCCAATATCCTGAACCCAATTTGGTAACAAACTGTCCAAATGTGAGAGGTTTATCAGAGGCCACAGCCAGATAACCTTGGGGGTTCCCTCAAATGAAATGGACTCAGATTTCCCAAACAGCCATCACTGCCACCTACAGAATCGTCTCCAGTCAGTGACAGGCCACATACCTGACAGTGGTCCCATCGGATTACAACTGTATTTTTATTTAATATGTATGTATATATTTTGAGGCACGGTCTTGCCTTATCACCCAGGCTGGAGGAGAGTGGTACCACTTTGGCTCACTGCAACCTCCGCTTCCCAGGTTCAAGCGATTCTCCTGTGTTAGCCTTCTGGGCAGTGGAGATTACAGGTGCCTACTACCATACCTGGCTAATTTTTGTATTTTTAGTACAGACTGCGGGGGCGGGGGGGGGGGGGGGGCGGGGTGTTTCCATGATGCTGTTAGGCTGAGTTTGAACTCCTGACTTCAGGTGATCCATCGGCCTCGCCCTCCCAAAGTGCTGGGATTACAGGCGTGAGCTACCGCACCTGGCCACAACTTTTTTGCTGTGCCTTTTCTACGTTTAGAGATAAATACCACTAGGTTACAAGTGCCTGCAGGACTGAGCATAGGTTTGCAGCCCAAGAAGACAGGGCTGAACCACGCGGCCCAGGCGTGCAGCAGGCTGTCTATCCAGGGTAAGAACAACCCAGTGCATCAGCACAACCACAAAACTGCCTGAGGACACGTCTCAGAATGCATCCCAGACGTGAAGCTATGACTGTGACTTGTGAATTATTTCTAAGTCAAAACAAAGGGATTCTGGATTTCTGGCTCAGATTGAAAAGCTGACAGAGTATGCATTTTCCTCTGAATTAACTTACATATTTTTAAAGAGACAGGGTCTCGCTCTGTGGCCCAGGCTGGAATGCAGTAGCATGATCAGGGCTCACTGCAGCCTGGACCTTGCAGGCTCAAGCAATCCTCCGACCTCAGCCTCTTGAGTAGCTGGGACTACAGGCATGAGCCACGATGCCCGGCTAATATTCTCATTTTTAGGAGAGACAGGGTCTCATTTTCTTCCTAGGCTGGTCTCCAATTCCTGGCCTCAAGCAATCCTCCTGCTTCACCTTCCCAAAGTGCTGGGACTACAGGCATGAGCCACTGTGCCCGGCTAATATTTTCTTTTTTTTTTTTTTTTTTTGAGACGGAGTTTCGCTCTTGTTACCCAGGCTGGAGTGCAATGGCGCAATCTCGGCTCACTGCAACCTCCGCCTCCTGGGTTCAGGCAATTCTCCTGCCTCAGCCTCCTGAGTAGCCGGGATTACAGGCACGCGCCACCATGCCCAGCTAATGTTTTGTATTTTTAGTAGAGACGGGGTTTCACCGTGTTGACCAGGATGGTCTCGATCTCTCGGCCTCATGATCCACCCGCCTCGGCCTCCCAAAGTGCTGGGATTACAGGCTTGAGCCACTGCACCCGGCATATTTTCTTTTCTTTTTTTTTTTTTTTTCTTTTTTTTTTTTGAGACGGAGTTTTGCTCTTGTTACCCAGGCTGGAGTGCAATAGCGCAATCTCAGCTCCCTGCAACCTCCGTCTCCTGGGTTCAGGCAATTCTCCTGCCTCAGCCTCCTGAGTAGCTGGGACTGCAGGCACGCGCCACCATGCCCAGCTAATTTTTGTATTTTTAGTAGAGACGGGGTTTCACCATGTTGACCAGGATGGTCTCGATCTCTTGACCTCGTGATCCACCCACCTCGGCCTCCCAAAGTGCTGGGATTACAGGTGTGAGCCACCGTGCCCGGCCGGCATATTTTCTTTTTAAAAATTTTTTAATTTTTTTTTTTTTTTGAAAGAAAGGGGTCAGGCCAGGCGTGGTGGCTCAAGCCTGTAATCCCAGCACTTTGGGAGGCCGAGGCGGGTGGATCACAAGGTCAAGAGATCAAGACCATCCTGGTCAACACGGTGAAACCCCGTCTCTACTAAAAATACAAAAATTAGCTGGGCATGGCTGGG